GTTTTTCTAGCCTAGTATAAATAGAATAATTTATTATTTCTAGGTTAAGAATTAGATATCAGATAGCAGCAACACTCGTGAGACTCAAGTTTTAGCCTATTTTGGGCATTTTCATCTTGTTTTACCGTGGATTCTTGTAGATTAACATTCTAGTTAATTAATATGTTGATTTTATCTACTACTTCTTCAATTTCTGTTGCTATTATGTCTAGCTAAACCCATTATCTAGGGTTGTGGCTCAACCCTAGTGTGGGTAATTAATGGGTGTGATTGTTTAATGCTTGAATGATGTTGGGTGTTTGCTATTTGGGTTAATTTTATGATTTAACTAGGATTTGGTGGTTGCAAACACTAAGTCTAGCTTAGTGGGTCTTGACTCTTCTTGAGAAAGAGTGTCTATGACTCCAAAATTAACCCAACAAGGAATTGGGATGGACCCATGAGAATGGTAGTCCCAATTAACGGGTTAAACCTCGAGAGAGTAATTACCCAACTTGAACCCTAAGTTGCTTGGGCTTGTTGGCCTACCCAATTGGTCTCTCGAGAGTCAATTGGGCAAAATCACTCTTTCTATCGAGAGGTGTGAGAGTGAGTGCAATCGTGTAACGGTTATAGCATAAGCCCCATAATCATCATTCTTGTATTAGGAATCTCTACCCGTTAGTTGACCACCTAGGTAAATGCCACGACCCTAGTATCTTTCTCTATCTTGCATACAACCTAGAATTAATATCTTAGCATAATTTAGTTATAATTAGTAGTTGTTAAATTGTAGTTGATAATCATAAAAACCCAAAAATAGAAGATCAATTAGAAGCAAATACGCATTTCTAGACTAAGCAAATATCCAACTCCCTTTCTAGCTCCTTGTGGAAATTGACCCCGATACCACTATTGGGTAAAAGTATTAGCGCCCACTCTTCCTAAGGTTGAGTCCGCTGCGGATCATCGCCCTTGTTGTTTGTTGGATCTTCGTGGGAAGACTACAGTTTTCCATTCCGAGTCTATTTGTTGAGTTCATATGTAGGGGTAAGGATATTTGGAGAAGTTGATGATTGTTGTAGTATGATGCTATTTGACGGGTGATGTATTTGGCTATGGGGTCAAACAAGTCGGGTGTGACCCAGTCGTCCACAACTAAGACATAACATGTTTAGACCTTCGTAAAGTACTTGTTGACCGTGTATCCCAATAAAACATGGGACTTTAATGGCTGTATAGTGGCACTTCTATGCAAATACGAGCATAACGGCCACGAGATGTAGCATATGTGCATGTATCAATTTTTAAGAGTTTGCCAAGTTTGTTACTTTGTGTAGTATTTCAAGATCATAGAACTCTGTTGGAAGCTTAGGGAGTCGATTCCAAATTGCAATATATGTGAGGTTCGTGGTGGATGCTAGGAATTTAGGTTCCCATCGTCAAATGATTTAATACAAACCACAGTCCATTGTGCAGTGCTTTGTTCATGTTTTCTTCTTCTTTGTATTTGATTAAGAAAAATTCATTACCTAGGTCGATGAGTGATAGTGTTTCAGTGGGTTTCCACATACTTTGTAGTTTTTGTTTGAGGGATAAATGACCCACTTTGCATCAAAAAACATTTACTATAATTGAGTATTTCTAGGAATTATGAAGTCTGGATTTGTCTACACTGGAAATGAGCATAAAGTTGTTTGGCGTTGGGTCTTCTAGCACTTCATCGGACATGTCAATATGTGATTGGGTAGTAGAAATTGGTGGAAGTGACATAGTATGGTTATTTAATTGTGTCTTCATCAGTCATGGTTTCATTGAAAAAACAGAATTGGTAGATTATTTTACAAGGGAAAAGTTCTAGTGAGAGGTTGAAGCTAGCTTCTCTCTCTAACCCATTAGTGACTTTTTTAAAAGTCATGCTTGTTTAGCTTGGCAGAAAGTGCTCTTTTTGTCTAATGACACTACTTCCTAAAAACACAATAGTTCATTGTGAAATAAAAGTTTCACATAATTTTATATTTAGTTATATAGTTATGATGGCTTCATCTAAGATAATTTGCAATTTTTGTATTATTTATGCTAGCTGGTTCAGGTTATTGCAACTCACAAGAAATAGGTTAATATTGATTTATATACGAGAACTACTTTAGTAAATTTTATTATTTCACAATACCCAAAAAAAGGCCATTCGATTTTCTACTTGCTGAGTCTTCCATGTGGTCCATTCAAAATTCTTAGGTGTGCAACAATAGCACCAACTTTTGTGAATCAATTGTGATAAGTTATGATCAAGTTGAAGAGTGAACATGTTGATGGATATTTTCTAAAAGTAATAGATGTGAGTTTTCCCCTACAAATTTACAGTAGTTATCTTTGCTCCTTCTTTTTCCTTTCATATGGTTGAATTTTTTAACTAGCCGATGCATTTTATTGGTATTTAATAGGTCTTTGTGAAGCATTGCTGGAAGTGAATAGCGGTTGTTCAAGAAAGATTTGAAAGCATATATATATATATATATATATATATATATATATATATATATATGTATATATATAGAAACCTATTTAAGAATAAAAATATTTCTCTGGCTAAGCATGTTGACTGACTCACTTACAAATAGTTTTTTTGATCTTGATGGAGTTTTCCTGTTAGCATATGCTTTCTATGCTATGAGTTCTTTCAATATATAACTGCACGCTTTTTCTGAGAAGAATTAGCTTACATCTACACATTTTAATAGAGGTGGGTAATTAATCTCGGACAATTTTTTTGAAATAGAGTCATATGTGCCATATAATCTGATGTCACATCCTTATGTTGCTGAAGTAGCGTATGATCCTTTTGTTATTGCTCTAAATTGTCATTACACATGTGTTTTGAAATGATATAGCTTTGTTCTGTTGCGCCCGAGCAATCCTTACTAGTCATGTTAGAAATTGTGTAAATGCAGTTGACCGGAACAAACTCTTATTGCGTGGCGGGCAAAGTCAATGTATTTGTCAAGGCATGTGAGAACCATGTAACACTAGTTTCATCTTATGATTTGCTGCTGATACGAATATGTAGTAGTGAAGCTTGCGGAGGTTGTACATCTTGCCGAGTTAGTAATACGGTTAGTTAAGTGTTTTATTAAAGTTTGTTAGTCAGACACTTGAGTCTATTAAGTTTCTCCGTCCATAGTTATTACAGTTACACCTAAGCCCCTAATTTACTTTGTCTTATTCACATTTAATCCAGATCATTTCTGTTAGAAACTGGCAAAGAGATTGTCAAAGGTGCTTAGCTCAGCAGCCTTATATATGCTTGTAATTCCTTCATTTTGGGTATGAATTGGAACACTATTTTACTTTCCTACTTCGTCTTTCAATTTTCTTCCTTGTTTCTTTTATTTCTTTTTACTGTTCCATTATTTTTTGCATGAGTGGTATCAGAGCACTTTCTGGCTCTGTGGGAATTCATGGCTACTTATATGAATGAGGTCGTGAACCTCTTACAAAACTAGCTACTGATGTATCTAGGTTTACTACTCGACAAGATCAATTGGAAGCAAGCCAAGAGCAAAGCAGCAGTATGCAAGAGGAAGCTTTGGGTGAGCTCAGAGATGTGCTGAATGAGGTCGTTCATGGAGGAAGAAGACCAGAACATGGAAAGAGTCTAGCAGCAACATAAGGTGAGATATACTCTCCTTATGACATGCCCTTTGATTTTGGTGAAATTATGACCCCCAGCTACGAGTGCAACCGGTAGCTAAGTAACACAAAATATTCCTGCTCCAGCTAGCGTTCAAGTTCAGCACCCTTCCGTCACTCAAAATCCCAAAACCAGCTTGAATATGGCTTACATGGCACAGATCTCACAGGATCTATCAGTAAACCCTAATCTTCCATCACCAACAACCCTGTCCGTACCTTTGTTCCACCACAATACACCATCCAACCTACTCAGTTTCAATTCCAAAATTCCCATTCTCCACAACCTATACTCACTTCTCAATTTCCCTTTTCCTATATGCCCTCTGCCCCTATATTTGGAAGAGTTTATCCTCCAAGTAAGGGACCGCCCGTAGAGCACAATACTTTCATAACCCCTACTACTAAATTACAACATTTCCTCCTACCTACCACACTCAGGCTACACATAATTCCCCTTTCCTATACCATCAAATACCTTATATTCCTATTCTTCTTCCTTACCCAAACATACTTGTTGCCAGTTAATATCCAAACCTTCACACCAACCATGGCACCACCTTGCCTAATAGTCCATTTTGCCAAATACACTAAGGTGGAATTTCCAAAATTCGATGGAGAATATTTAAGGACTTGGTTATACAAGGTGGAGCAATTCTTTGCTGGTGAATAAGTTACTATTCAGCAAAGAATGAAGTTAGTTTCATTGCATTTTAAAGGATATGTCTTGCAATGACACCTTGGCTATATGAGGAGTAGAGGTCAGGTACCACTCCCAACTCGGGATGAGTACTTTTGGGCCCTTTGTGATAGCATTGGGGCTGACTATTCTGATCTCATGACTGAGCTTATGAATTTCAAGCACACTAGTACAGTTAAAGAATATCAATGTCATGACTAGGATCAATTTGTCTGTAGAACATGTCATCAATATATTCTTGAACAACCTTAAAACTGAGCTTGGTAGTGCAGTGAAGGTTGGCCATCCTTGTACTCTCCCACGGGCTTACTATCTTGCCAGATTGCATGAGGCCAACTTTGCTTCCCAAAGTAAAGCCTTCGGGGGAACATCAGGAAACAGCAGTGGAAACCTGTTTAGGAATAATGCAGGAAACTTTAGGAAACCTGTAGTTGCTAAAATGGATAACAGTAGAATAAGGAGGCCGACTCAAGCTGAGATGGATGAGAAGAGGTCTAAGGGCTTACGCTTCTTATGTGATGAGAAGTATGTCCTGAGGCATAAGTGCAAACCAAATAGACAATTGTTCTCATTGAAGCTTGAAATTAAGGAGGATCAAGAAGGGGAACAAGATGAGAAATCATAAGCATAAATGGATATAGTTGAAGAGGAAGTAGTAGAAAATCCTGAGAATTGTGCCATATCCCTGCAAGCTCTCAATGGGACTTTAGGCTTCAAAACCTTGAGATTGAGAGGCTTTACTGAACAGAAGCCACTCGAAATGCTTATTGACTGCGGGTCTCACATAACTTTATGGATGAGGAAGCAGCAAAAAGACCAAACCGGTACAAGTTACAGATGGGGGGGAGGGGGGGTAACTACCGCAAAAATGTGCAGGGGTTTCCAATGGTTAATGCAATGAGCTATATTCCAACATGATTCTTTTCATCTTTCCTATAGGCAAGAGTGATATAGTTTTGGGAATACAATGGCTGTGTCCTCTAGAAGATATCAAATTCAACTTCAGAAAGTTGATGATGGAGTTTGAATACCAAGGAAAGGTGCTTACACTGCAAGGCATTCAACCTAAGTTCAAGACTTTGCAAGCCAAGTCCCTTGAGTCAATGACACTGATGGACTCTCAGTTCTTTATGGTCAAAGTTAAAGACAAAGAACAGGAAATAGTCTCTACGGAGGAAGGAGAACCTGCTGAAGTTCAAGGGGTACTAAGAGCATATGAGACAGTCTTTGGAGAACCTACACAACTACCTCCCCCCCCCCCACTAGGGGAGTGTTTGATCATCGTATTCCTCTCTTGGAAGGTTGGTCACTTGTGAATTCCAGACCTTATATGTACTCCCCAGTACAAAAAATGAAAAGATAGTGCAAGAAATGATGGAATAAGGCATCATTCAATACAGTTCCAGCCCTTATGCCTTACCAGTGATACTTGTAGGTAAGAAAGATGGTTCACAGAGAATGTGTATAGACTACAAATCCCTAAACAAAATGATAGTAAAGGATAAGTTTCCAATTCATATTATTGAATAATTATTGGATGAGTTAGGAGGATCATAAGTCTGTTCTAATATTGTAACGACCTGACCGGTCGTTTTGAGTTCTAGCGCTCCGTTCAGCAGCCTAAGCCCACGAGCAGCTTCATTTCAAGTGTTATGACTTGTACACGTGGTCGGAATTAAGTTCCGGGAAGTTCAGAGTTGATTTGGAAAGAGAATTCTCATTTCAAAAGCTTAAAGTTGAAAGAATGAACTAAGATTGGATTTTTAAGTAAACGATCTCGGAATCAGGATCTGAAGGTTCCAGCAGGTTCGTATGATGATTTCGGACTTGGGCGTATGCCCGGATCGGGTTTTGGATAACCCCGGAGCGTTTTAGCGCCTATTGTGGAAGTTAGCATTTTAGAAGAAATTTCATAAATTTGGCGTGAAGTGCATTTCAGTGTTATCGATGTCCTTTTGGGATTCTGAGACTGTAAATAGCTCCGTATGGTGATTCTGGAGTTGGGAGCGCGATCGGAAGTGAATTCGGAGGTCCGTGGGTCATTTTGGAGCCATTTGGCTAAAGATAGAAATTTGAAGGTTTTTGAGAAGTTTGACCGGAAGTGGACTTTTTGATATCGGGGTCGGAATCCGATTCCGAAAGTTGGAGTAGGACCGCAATGTCAACTACGACTTGTGCGCAAAATTTGAGGTCAATCTGACGTGATTTGATAGGTTTAAACATCGGAAGTAGAAGTTTGAAAGTTTTAAGTTCATAAAGCTCGAATCGGGGTGTAATTCATGGTTTTAGCGTTGTTTGATGTGATTTCAGGCCTCGAGCAAGCCCGTAACGTGATTTGGGACTGGTTGGTATGTTTGGTTGGGGTCCCGGGGGGCCCCGGGTGGATTCCGGGAGGTTTACGGATCAAAAAGGAGTTTTTAGAGGTGTTGAAGCATCTGCTTTTGTCATAGCCGCACCTGCGGTTGGTTGGCCGCAGGTGCGAGACCGCATAAGCGGTCGACATTTCGCAGAAGCGGCTAAGACCGCAGATGCGGCCCTAAATCCGCAAAAGCGGAACCGCAGAAGCGGTAGGGCCTGTCGCAGATGCGGCCCAAGGCCAGGCATGTCTAGACCGCAGATGCAGCCCTATATTCGCAAAAGCGGAACCGCAGAAGCGGTGGGCCTATCCGCAAAAGCGGCCCAGACCGCAGAAGCGGTCTTCCTTCCGCAGAAGCGGTGGCCGCAGGTGCGGCCCAAGCCCGCATATGCGGAAATCACAGAAGGCAGTGGCCTTCATTTATTCGGGCCCAATGCCATTTTTGCTCATTTTCACTCGTTTCTTGGGCGATTTTGGGAGCTTTTGAGAGAACACTTCCCCCTAGCATCTTGAGGTAAGTTGTCCCACCTATTCTTAGTTTAATACTTGAAGTTTGGGTGGATTATCACTTGTAAATTAGTACAAAAAATCTTGAGAATAGAGTAAAACCTAGGGTTTTGTTAAAAACAAGATTAACCACGAAATTGGTTGTAGAATGGAGTAGAAATCATATATCTTTGTCCTTAGGCTATAAAGAACAACTTCCTTCGAAAAATTTCGGAATCCGGGCACGTGGGCCCGGGGTCGGATTATAGGAACTTTGAATTTAAGGTTGGGAAATTGGGTGGAAAGTTAGAATATGAACTTTTAAGCATGTATTGACTAGTTCTTGCCCTATTTGAATAGTTGTGGATCGTTCGGCTCTAAATTGGAAGTTTGAGTGCGTTCTTGAATCGGAATGTAGGCTTCGGAGCGAGGCGAGTCTCCTTTCTAACTTTGTGAGAGGGAAATGTCCCTATAGGTGAATTAATTGAATATTTGCTCCTATTTGCGGGGGCTACGTACGCACGAGGTGACGAGAGTCCGTGCGTAGCTACTATTATGCTATTGTCCGAGTAGCCTAGGATCTAAAAACATGCTATACTTTGAATATTTGTAATCTTATGGATAGTTGAATTGCTTAAACCACATCAAAATAGTAAATGAATTTCTAACAAGATCTAAACCTCATTTTCTTAAATTGTTGAAAGAGAATTAGCTATTCTTTGAATAATTGCCCCATGTTGGTTTCTTGATTGAATGTCTCTACGTGTTTATTTTGGAACGGGCCGAACGCCTCGGCAGATTAAATAGATGCATCTATAGGCGCGCCGTCGACCCTCGGCAAGTGCACAGTTTACATTTCTGTTGGATCGGGCCGTCGCCTTGGCATGATGTGCGCATGCTTGTATTGCTTGCCTTGAAACTTATTTAAGTTGTTGTAGCCCCTTTATGGCTTGGAAATAATCGGATAATTACAAAAAGGAATCTTGGAAATTTCCTATAAAAGAATTGATTGTTTACTTGTTTCCTTCTATTTGGACTAAAATCATGTTTATAGAGATCCATAATTTTAATGTATTACTGACCTCACTATTGGACCATTAGTAAGTGTCGAAGTCGACCATCTCGTCTCTACTTCTTTGAGGTTAGGAGGGATACTCATTGAGTACACGTTGTTTACGTACTAATACTACACTTCTGTGCATTTTTGTTACACAGGTATATTTATCTCTAGCAGCCCACTGGGTGTAGCAGCGCGGATGATTCTGGGACTAGGTGAGTTGCATTGTTCGAGGCGACCCGCAGCTAGTATAGTCCCTTCCAGTGTACTTTATTTATTTCTTGTCCACTGTATTTCGGACGGATGTTGTATTTTATTTCCTTATCTGTAGATGCTCATGCACTTGGACACCAGGTTCTGGGATGGTTTTTCGAAAGATTTGTACTAGTTGTTTATGATTTAATTCGAATTAAAGTGGTGATCTTTTTATTTATGAAAAATGGAAGGAAAATCCTAGAATTTCAAAAATAATAAAACGAGAATTTGGTTAAGTAATTCAGTTGGCTTGCCTGACAGCAGTGTCCGGCGCCATCACGACCCTTAGTGGATTTTGGGTCGTGACAAATATATACTTGAAAGATAGGTACCATCAAATAAGAATGGCTGTTTCAAATGTGCATAAAACAACTTTCAAAACACGCTCGGGACATTATGAGTATTTGGTTGTGCCATTTGGCTTAACCAATGCACCTTATAGTTTTCAAGGGTTGATGAACCGCATATTTCAAAAACATCTTAGAAGATTCATCCTTGTCTTATTTGATGACATTCTAATTTATAGCAAGGATTTGCAGGAGCACTTGCAACACCTTAAAACTGTGCTTGACCTTAGTTCAGCGTCAATTGTTGGCTAAAGGGAGCAAATGGGTCTTTGCTGCAAAAAGGATAGAGTACCTGGGGTATTATATCCCAGCTGAAGGTGTTTCAACTGATCCACATAAGATTGAAGCAGTGAAATCTTGGCCTAAACCTGGTTATGTGAAACAACTGAAGGGGTTTCTTGGAATGGCTGACTACTACAAGAGATTTATAAAAGGACATGGAGTAATCAGCAAGCCTCTTACAGATTTCTTGAAGAAGGATAATTTCAATTGGAATGAAAAGACATGAAAGGCCTTCTACAAACTCAAGGCAGCTCTGACATTTGCCCCAATTCTAGCTCTTCCCGATTTCAATATTCCCTTTATTGTGGATATTGATGCATGCAACGTGGGGATAAGGGTTGTTCTCATGCAGAAAGAGCAACCAATTGCCAACCTCAATAAGGGTTTATTAGCACAACACCAAGCCTTGTCTGTATATAATAGTGAACTGTTAGCTTTGGTAATGGCCATAACAAAATGGTCTCAGTACTTCATTGGAAGGCACTTCACTGTGAAGATTGATCAAAAAGCTCTCAAGTTCCTACTAAAGCAGAAATTGCACATTGGTTCACTGCTCAAATGGATAGCCAAACTCATGCAGTATGATATCTCTATAGAGTACAAGAACGAAAGAGAAAACAAGGTAGCTGGTGCCCTCTCTAGGCTACCAATAGTGGGGTTATCTGCTATGACTCTATCATTATCAAAGTTGACTTGTTAGAGCTGACTAAAAAGAGCTGATAAGTTGATGATGAACTTAAGAATACAATAAAAGCCATTGATGAGAAACGAGAGGAATAGAAAGGGTACACCTTCAAACATGGACAACTGAGGAAGTATGGCAAGTTGGTTGTAGGTCCATACGTGCAATTGAGAACCTCCATTATGCAGTTATGGCATGATTCTCAGGTTGGAGGTCACTCAGGAATAGACCACACCTTCAAGAAGGTATCAACCTTATTTCATTAGAGGGGTTTGAGTAATGATGTGCATAAGTATGTCAAGAGCTGTGACATTTGCCAAAGACATAAATATGACAAAGCACCTTACCCTGGACTTTTATAATCTCTAAAGCTGCCTATATCAGCTTGGAGTAGTATTAGTATGGATTTTATAGAAGGACAACCTAAGTCAAAAGGGAAGACATTTATATGAGTAGTAGTTGACAAGTTAAGTAAATATGCACATTTCATAGGTCACTCCCATCCCTATTCAGCTGAAAACATTACCAAAGCTCTTCATAGAGCACACACACAAACTGCATGAAATGCCTGGGGACATAGTCAGTGACAGAGATCCAATCTTCACTAGTAAAGTATGGCAAAAGTTGTTTGCCATGATGGGGGTGACCCTCAACACCTCAACATCTTATCACCCTCAAACTGATGGCCAAACAGAGGTGGTGAACAAATGTTTAGAGACTTATTTAAGGTTCTTTTGCTCAGAATCCCAAAATGATTGGTTCCTATACCTGGCTGCAGCTGGATGGTGGTATAACACTACATTCCATTATTCCATTCAGACAACCCCTTTTGAAGCACTATATGGTTAACCACCCTTATTACATCTTCCCTATGTTGCTGGAGATTCTGGAGTGGAGGAGGTGGATAGAAGTCTGATCACAAGAGAGTTCAAGGTTCAGCTGCTCAAATATCACTTGGAAACGGCTCAACAAAGAATGACTGATCAAGCCAACAAGCACATATCAGATGGACAGTTTGAAGAAGGTGACAATGGAAAGGTGACAATAGAAGGACACAAATTTTCTAAGCTCTCATCAATGTATTATTGACCTTATCAGATCTTGCAGAAGATAGGAAATGTTGCTTACAAGTTATCCCTACCCCGTGAGTTGCTATTTCATCCTACTTTTCATGTGTCCCAATTAAAACAATGCCATAAACTGCCCAACACTATCCTTCATTCTCCAGTTTTAGATCTCTCCAGCCCTTAGTGTCCACAGCCTTACAAGATACTTGTCAGGCGCATGATACAAAAGGGATCCAAAGTTGTCGCACAAGTTTTGGTTCAATGGTCACAAATGCCAGGTAAGCAGGCCACATGGGAAGAATACCAGGTCCTAAAAGTGAGGTTTCCATCTTTCCTTCCTTTAGGACAAGGAAGATTTTTACGGGGGAAAACTGGTACGAATATGTAATAGTGAACCTTGCGGAGGTTGTACATCTTGTTGAGTTAGTAATACAGTTAGTTTAGTTAGTTAAGTGGGAGTGTTTTATTAAAGTTGTTAGACAGACACTTGAGTCCCTTAAGTTTCCCCGTCCATAGATATTATAGTTACACATAGGTCCCTTAATTTACTTTGTCTTATTCACATCTAGCTAGATCATTTATGTTAGAATTTGGCAGAGAGAATGTCAGAGGTGTTGAGCTCAACAACCTTATATATGCTTGTAATTGAAACCCTATTTTAGCTAGCGTTTGGCCATAGATCCCAAATTTATTTTGAAAATTTGATTTGGGTGAAGTTTGGTTTGAAGATGAAAATGCGTTTGGACATACGTTTTCAAAACATATTTTCCAACTTTATTTTGGAAAAACATGTATATAGTTCCCAAGTTTTGGAATTTTGGCCAAAAATCAGCTCAATAGCTGATTTTGGGATTTGAAAATTGAGATTTTGGCCAAAATATGGGCAACGTTTATGGCCAAACATGAGTTTTGAAAATAAATCCCAAATTTATTTTGGCAAAACTGGCCAAAAGGGCCTTAATTTCCTGCTTCGTGTTTCAATTTTCTTCCCTGTTTCTTTTATTTCTTTTTACTGTTCCATTGATTTTGCATCAGCTGCCTTAAGCCAAAGATGGAAAGTTCATTGCAGAAAAAGACAAAAGGATGAAATATTAGGGACCGAACAAGAACAATAGGTTTAACGAGGACAAATTGCAGCTAAAGTGAAAGTAGGGGTACCAAAATTTTCTTTCCTCGTCGAATAACCCAAGCTGGATACTTGCAAAAAATTCGGGTCCCTTACCTTCGCTCCAAAAGTCCCAATTTTCACGAAACGCAAAATCGCTCGACAAATCAATGGCGGCAATCGCCGAATCATCTGAAGCAAATGCAGACTCGCCGTCGCCATCGCAGTCTCCGTCGTTACCAGCTGATAGAGTTAAGCACGAAGACAAGTCGAATACCGTGGGACAGGGACTGGGAGAGTTCGTCCCATGGATCGACAACGCAGTGCAACAGGCGCAGCTTGCACAGAAGACAGTAGAAAGCACATTAGAGAATGCAATTGTGGTGACCAAATCTCGTCTTGATCGTCTTTTAACCACCTCCTCTGTACACTTCAATCAAACACTTGTAAGCTCCATTTATTATCGCTTTATATGTTTGCTTTATGCCTCATCCGCGTTAGAAATTATATTTCCTACTGCAAGTGTTTGTTTGTTGTATTTTCTTCTAAATTAGCTGTTTGATCCCATAGTTCCATATCAACTTAATTACAAGCGCGATTGCTTTCGTTGCTGCACAATCCAGTTTGAATGCTTTATGTTTTCGGTGAAAAATGTTTTACCTTGGGAACTTTTACATGGTTTGATCGAATATTAAAGTTGGTGACATATGATAATTGTACAAGGTAGAATAGTATTTGATGTTGACAACATTCTCTATGTTTTTTTTAGTAACCGGCCAACTTGTGTGCACCTCAACTATTACACCGGTTACCTACTATCTTTTACTAGTATAGAGTATCGGGTAACTCCGACCAAAGCGTAGGTAGACAGGAAGAAATCATCTAGTATGCTTTGCCTCCGCTAGGATTAGAATCTGATACCTCATGGATCTCCTCTCACTACAACAATCTCTAAGTTATAATCGAAGTAAGTGATATAGATAAAGATGTGTGATATTTGTAAAGGAAAATGACTTATGTTAGTAAGTGATAGAAGTCATTTGCTTATCAGAAAAAGTGAGCATTTGCTCCCTTTTGGCGGAAGTGTTTTGTTGGAGAAAATATCTTTCACAATTCGAAGTAACAAGAACTGGAAATTATGTTCCACAAGGAAAGCATTTGTACCCCGTGCCAAAACGCCCTTATCTTGATCCAATTTCAAGTATATTGGACAACCATAGAAGCACATCTATTTTTGAATGAATTAAGACCTGAGGAATTAAACTACCAAATCTTAGTTTGTTGATGTCCTTCACCACTATGTCCTCTTTTGGTGTATATGTAATCAATGAAATAGAAGATTGTTTCAAAATAGTGAGAGTGATGTAGAAATCACTAAAAAGATTCCTTTTATTTCACTTGCATTTGAGGTGTAAAGAGAGAATAATATGTTTTGTTACTGTGGAGATAGCTGGCAACATGATAGATAATTGTGGATGTCTAGGTCGAGTAATATAAACAGCTTGAAGGTACTTTTGGCACTGACTTGGCATTTACTAATAAAATTTGGTTTAAGGAAAAATAATGGGTTTGTCCAGGAAACTAAAAATGCAATTACATATTTGCATTATTCACCAATTATTGAGTTTGTTATGTTTTTTTGACTTCTATTATGCTCTCTATGGTATTTTGGATTTTGGAAGGAATTAAGCCTCATCTGATTTGAATCAGGAGCGAATTTATAGGGGAGATTATAGGACACGTGAATCCATGGTCTCTCCGCAAAATTAGATATTTTATGTACATATTTTTTAAAATTGGTATAATATTATCTGTTGGTACCCATGCTCCAAGAAGGTTGAATGATGCTCTTGGTTGAAGGTTGAGTTATTTACCAAGAGTAGTAGGGATCAATTCCCACTTTTCCCTCCTTTTTTTTTCCAGTAGTGCACCCATGTACTAAAAATCCTAGATCCGCCTCTACTTTGAATGTCGGATGGGATGTTGCACTTTATGACAAGATTATATTATCTATATCATGCTTTTGTTTCCCCTCTGTCAGATCTCTTCCCACCGTTTGGGTTGTATTACATTAATTGGAGCAAATGGCTGATGATGCTACCCAGTTCTGTTTTTCTGAGACCTATTCCTTTTAGGAGAACCCCTTGATTGTTCTACCCTTAATAAGTTGGTTTCTTCTAAGTAATAATTATGTGTTATTCTTTTGTTCATTGCATAATGATTTAAATGTGATGCATGTTGGTTGCAGGATTCCTTGCAAGATCTGAAGTCTGAATATAGTGTATATGAGGACTTGGTTTTTGGGAAGATCAGGGGTTAGTTGCTATCTTTGGTCCATTTGATGTGTTGTTTTTTAATTTCTCTTCATAACC